AATCAATTCAATCATTATTGGACAAAAGGAAGATGATTTGGTTAATCACATTCACCTCTCCTCGGTAAAGCAACTTGTCAATCATTTCAAACTTAACCCCATGGCGTTTCAATATCATCAAAGGTCCTACATATTTTAATTATATATTTTACAATACTAGTTAATTCTTTTTACAAAAAAGTACGTTTATATATATATATTTAATTATATATTTTACATTTGATCAAAGCTATCTAGGGTTTGCAGTATACATATATATATAGAACACTGCTCTGCACTTACTCTACGTGTGTGTGTGTGTGTGTGTGGAGTACTGATGGAAGTGACAAAAGAAAAGACTTTTGGTGGTGGGGGTATTAGGGTAATTAAAGGATTTTAATTTTACTGAGTACTGATCGATAGTGATGGGATGGGATGTTTGTCCCACGTGGGAACTCGCACGTGCGATCAATACACACACACGCAGTGGCCATTGCCGGCGGTTGAATTGAAGGGAAATAGTTTGCTAAATATATATTACTGAATACTGTCACTGTGTGTGATTGCATGTGTATGTATATGTATATTTGTTCGCTTCACGGCACGCAAGCTGCACTTTATATAAATACAATACATATTTTTACCTTCAAATACATAAATAAATTTGCTTAATTAATCAAGTATACTAATGTTTTTTTTTTGGGGAAACTACAGATAAATCCCTAATCCAAAACTCAAAACACAGATCAGTCCCTAGGTAGTTTCCCCAAGCAATTCAGTCCCTACTCACGCGCCTAACATGCAGATCAGTCCCTAATAAAATGTGCAAATACTAAAATACCCTTTACTTTATATTAATTTTACATAACTTCTTTTCAACTTCCAACGCGCCGTTTTTATTACACGCTCTTTGCCAGTTTATACCCATTTTCAGACCAAGAAGAAACAGAGAAGAAACGAAGAACAAAGAAACGAAGAACAAAGAAACAACAAAGAACGAAGAAATTACGAAGCACGAAGAATCAACAAAACGCAGAAAAATAATAAAGCGAAAGGAAAAATAAAAATAAACAAACCCATTTATAGACAATGGTGAAGCATGGTAAACAACAAGGTTTGATTTTTTTTTTTTTTTTTTCATTTTATTGGAAACAGACCCATTTGGGTGTTGCTTGAGCTTGCAAAAGGTTAATTTGTTATAGAATTGCATGATTTTGAACATATCCACTCATGGGTATTATGCCTCGACTTTATTCGGTGTTTCCCCTAATCATTAAATCGGTTCCAATATCTGTTGTTCTGTTGTTTGGGTTTGCAAAGATCATTTATTTGTTGTCGAATTTCATGATTTTGTAATAGTTTTCTCTTGGGTATTATTCTTATGATATGGGAAAGAGGCTTATTGTATTTTTCGTACTGGTTCTATAGTATGTGTCATGCGCAGTAATGGTATTAATAGTGCATTTAGATGGTATTGACACAGGGTACTTGAAGTATAATGTTTGGTGGTTCTGTAGTATAAGTCATATGCCACAATAGTATTGCTAGTGCTGTTGAGTGATATTGCTAGTGCATTCGAATAGTATAATGTTTGATTGTAGTGTAGTATGTGTCATATGCAACAATGGTATTGCTAGTGCATTTGGATGGTATTGAACGAAATTACTGGAAGTACTAGTAGTTGAACTTTATAGTACGTTGTATTTGTTATAATTGTAGTTTTATGTGTATGTAATTGCAGGAATTGATGTAAAAGAAGATTGCAGTAAGCTATCAATAGGCTGCAGGTGCTCACCGATCGCTTTTCAAATAGATGAATGTGTTTTTTGTGCCATAAACAATCTGTCCTTTTGTTGTAGAGCTAATAATACTATTGATTAGCTCTACTCGTACTTTTCCATTGTATACATTGTACTATATGTTTCGATGAAATGTACTTACCTTTTGAACACATGGTACTTTATTTTGCGATTAATTAGTTTGTATAAAGAATATAAGCGTACCATAAAAATGAGCAACAAATACTTTCTAGTCTATTCGAAGATACTTTGTCAACACTAGACTTGTACTTACTTGATGAACAAAGCGTACTTCACATGTGTATTCACGAAAAACTTACCATAATCGATGTTGATCGACTCCCACATTGTTCCTATTCATTCTTAATAGTCTTAAACTGAAGAGTTGTGTCTTAAAATGCGATCATATGGATGCATTGGCCCAACAATAATATATAGAGTGTAACAATACTATATGAATGGCAAACATATACTTTATCAGTGAACAAAGCGTACTATAGTCACGAATCACTTGTACTTCACATGTGTATTCATTGTACTTACTTGATGAACAAAGCGTACCATATTTTTTGATGAATTGAATTGTACCAATTTCATTGACGCTTTAATGATCAATAAGTACGGGAGATGCATAAATTATGTTTTAGATGATTATTTTAAGGTAGGTGAGCATTATTGTTGCGTTTGGAATACAAGATCCCATAAATATGTTGAATTTCATACATGATACTCATATACTATACAATATATTCATACAAGTCTATAATGCTCAAGTATAAAACTAATATTTTCCTCAATTGTTACCATAATCGATATTTATCAACTCCCACACTGTCTCCATTCATTCTTAATAGTCTTAAACTGAAGAGTTGTGTCTTAAAATGCGATCATATGGATGCATTGGCCCGGAAATAATATATAGAGTGTAACAATACTATATGAATGACAAACATATACTTTATCAGTGAACAAAGCGTACTATAGTCACGAATCACTTGTACTTCACATGTGCATTCATTGTACTTACTTGATGAACAAAGCGTACCATATTTTTTGATGAATTGAATTGTACCAATTTCATTGACGCTTTAATGATCAATAAGTACGGGAGATGCATAAATTATGTTTTAGATGATTATTTTAAAGTAGGTGAGCATTATTGTTGCGTTTGGAATACAAGATCCCATAAATATGTTGAATTTCATACATGATACTCATATACTATACAATATATTCATACAAGCCTACAATGCTCAAGTGTAAAACTAATATTTTCCTCAATTGTTACCATAATCGATATTGATCAACTCTCACATTGTCTCCATTCATTCTTAATAGTCTTAAACTGAAGAGTTGTGTCTTCAAATGCGATCATATGGATGCATTGGCCCGACAATAATATATAGAGTGTAACAATACTATATGAATGACAAACATATACTTTATCAGTGAACAAAGCGTACTATAGTCACGAATCACTTGTACTTCACATGTGTACAAAACGTACTATATTCACGAATAACCCTAACTTTACCAGCTTATACATTGTACTCATGTTCACTAATTAAACAACAGTACATATGTTTTACATAGCATGTAGACTGCAAATATTACTAGATTCAACACTATCAAACTATGAACTACTCCACCTTCAGAATTGCAATTCTTCACTTCACTTTCTCGATGGACTTGGTTCATCGACGCACTTGTAGCTTCATTTTCTTCACGATTTGAGTTGGAAAAAGTTTGCCCAACTTCAAATGGTTCACACCAATGGGAGTAACCATGGTGTGGGCAACAGTAAAACCCGAACTGCACTTGTGAATGAATTCTTTTTGTCTTTCTACGTCCTGGTCGAGTTCTCAATCAGCTGCATTAACAAAGACATCGGGCGGAGCATTACACGCATCGTACAAGTCAAAGTCCTCATCAAACGAGGGAATTGGGTTAATCGTGAATTGATATACCTGCTTGTACGTATCCGAATAATGGTTACGTACTGTCTTCCCCATTATATTATACTATGTTTTCCCACCAACAGTACCAAATTTACCTATCACCCATACTATTCAGATGAAGGTTACGTACTATCTTCCCCATTATATGATACTATGTTTTCCCACCAACAGTACCAAATTTACCAATCACGCATACTATACGAACAACGATTACGTACTGTAAAGTACCATACGTCCATACCATATTTATATTAGCATGATACTATTACGTGCCATATTTTATACTATGTATCACAATAATTAACGACCATAAAGAAATGCATTTCAGCAGTACAGAAAAATATGGAGACCTACCAGCCATCGGTGCGAACCCTCTTTCCACGCGAATTAGCTTCATCTTTGCGGATCACGACAATGTCGACCACACTCATCTTCATTATCAGATGCTTATATCGACAACTTCCAAGAATCACAGTGGGTACATCATTAGATACATCATTTGTAGCCATTGTGGGGTGGGTGGGTTTTACAATGATATTTTCTTTGGAAAAAGAGGAAACCAGAGGAGAGAAAGAGAGAAGAAATAGAGAAGAAAGAGAGCAGATAGAAATGAAGAAAGAGAAGAAAGAAAGAGAAGATGAAGAGAGAGAAAATGAAGAGAGAGAAAATGAGGAGAGAGAAAAGGGTGAGAGTGAAAAAGAAGAGAGAGAATATAATAAAATATATAAAATTCACATTAGGGACTGATCTGCATGTCAGACGCGTGAATAGGGACTGAATTGCTTAGGGAAACTACCTAGGGACTGATCTGTGTTTTGAGTTTTGGATTAGGGATTTATCTGTAGTTTCCCCTTTTTTTTTTGGTGTTAATTAATACTTATTAATTTATTCGGTATAATTCACTCACACGATGTATGGAATATTAAATAAATTAAACCTAATTGTTATTACTCACAAAGTAATTATGAATACAAAATAATGGGTGGTTATATCATAATCAAACCTTTATCTTTTTCAGAACTAGAATTATTTTATTTTCATTATATATATATATATATATATATATATATATATATATATATATTAAATTATTTATACGTATTTTATTGTTTAAATTAAAATAAATAAACTCCAAAAAGAGTTGAATCTCCTCCTCTTGGGACTATAAAAACTCATGACCCACAGCACCAAAACAAACCCTCATCCATTTTTTTTAGCAACAAATAATATAAATAAATAAATTAATTAAATAAAGAAGTAATACTATATATATTTTATATATAACAACGGCTACTTCAATGAGCAACTGCGGCGGCGGAGATGGTGGCGAGAGTGGAGGAGGAGGTGGTGGTGGGCCGTGTGGCGCGTGCAAATTCCTTAGAAGGAAATGTGTGAGAGGTTGCGTGTTCGCGCCGTATTTCGACTCGGAGCAGGGAACCGCCCACTTCGCGGCGGTGCACAGGGTGTTCGGAGCGAGCAACGCCTCCAAGCTGCTGCTGAGGATTCCGCCGCACCGCCGCCTTGACGCCGTGATCACGCTCTGCTACGAGGCACTGGCTAGGGTTAGGGACCCCGTCTACGGCTGCGTTGGCCACATCTTCACTCTTCAACAACAGGTACTATTTCACATATATTTACATTTCTGTGTGTGTGTTTACACACACACACACACATATATGTATGGTTTTGTAAGTATATATATCATTTTGTAAGAAACAAGTTTCTTAGTTTGGCCACAATTAGTTAAGTAGTTAATCATTAGAAAATGACAAGATTTAATTTAGGGTAAATTACTATGAAAACCCCGAGCTTAGGCTAAATAACGAAAAACACCTCCACCTATTCGTAATAACCAAAATATCCCCTATTGATCGAGTTTTTTAACAGAAGCGTGCACGGTCAATTATACCTTATGTTAAATAGGTGAGATATAAAAGAATAATATCTTAAAATTGTGTAAAGTCTATTAAAAAAAATCCGTGAAACGTCACCACAGTAAGGAGTGGAGTTGGTGTAAGACGAAAACAAACCTCCGGTTATTGCTAATTACTAATAAGTGGAGATGGTTTTTGTAATTTAATCTAAGTTTAGGGTTTTTTTCGTAATTTACCCTTTACTTTAATCCAAATTAATTTGATACATGATTTGACTATTAATTTAATATCTTGTAAAATGCTAGAGCGGGCCTCAGCCCTGTTTAAAATAACATGTTTCTCCTTCACCAATTAAATTTGGGCCGGGTCTTTTAATATGGGCCGTGGTCTCAAAATTCAAAAAGATTTTTTGTAATTATTTTTATTTTTTTTAAATGTCACATACACATGTACGTACGTGTCTCTTGCAGATTGTTAATCTCCAGGCTGAATTAGCGTACACTCAGGCGCGTATATCAACTTTCCGGCGTGGCCCTTGCTTGCCGCCCGTCCCTCAGCCGATCGCACCTAGTCGACCCTCGTCCGAATTTGCATGCGAGATGGCTGTTTTTGACGCCGATGAAACATCTGTTGAGATGACAAGTTTTTGTAATAATAATAATATAGTAGTTGATGAAGAAGAAGTAGTTGTTCTAGAAGATGGTGAACTCCAATCTCTAGCTATGGAATATGTTTCTAGATACTTCCCCGGAGTTAGATTCAGGCCTCCTACTTCACTTTGACGACTATAAACAAAATTAAAACAAAAAAAAAACAATTTGTAATCTATGTACTTTGTTTTATGGACTCTATTATTATTATTAATTAAGAAATATATTACCTCTGATTTTGATCTGATTTTTTTCGTTTTCTACTATGTTATTATATTTTAAAAAACACTTCTTTTTTGAGAAATTACATTCAACCCCCTATAGTTTATAAATTTCTTACGTGCATCCCCTATGACTGGGCATGGGTTGATTTTATCGGCTGACCGACCCACTATTGTTGGTCGATAATCGGTAATTAATCGGACCATATATAAATGGGCCGGTCAATGGGTTTCTTCAAGTTACTAAAAAGTCAGTTTATCGGACAAATAGGTGACCGATAATACCAACAACCAACCATTGCTTATGTGACAAAGTTGGCTGTCAACCATTATCCCACCTGTGTTGATTGAACTGGTAGTATGATTTTTAATGTTCGGCAAAATTAGGGAGTCGAATCAGATAAGTAATTGTTATCAAACTTGATCCATATTTCCCCTACCCGTGTTGGTTGAATTGGTAGTGATTTTTAATGTTCAGCAAAATCAGATAATCGAATCAGATAAGTAATTGTTATCAAACTTGGGATCTTAATGTAAGAAATTTCTAATATTACACGAGGTAAATGTAATTATGAAATAATGAAGAACTTTGTAGTTTACCTTACAAAAAAGCAAAGGTATTTATAACCCACTTTGTGTTATTACCTACTGTGCTCTTGTCTGTTCCTCTTCCCACAAAAAATCCCCAATTTTCAATTTCAAATCCCTACCCATCTCTATATTATACTTCTATTCGCAGAATGAGATTCTAGAGAGAGAAAGCATGCATCCTCTCTCTCTCTCTCTCTCTCTACATATATGTCAGAATCACTGACGGAAGTGCTTACAAACTCTCACGTAGAGTTCATGCGGTTGCCGCTTCTGTGAATTTGTGTTCGCCGCTAATGAATCAGGTCAATAAGATTGCGGAGGATCTGTTCCACCACCTGGGCCCACCTTCTTCTCACCATGAACATTTCATGGGCCCACACCCCTCCATTGATGACCACACCTTCTCCCTCGCCGAAATCGACCTCTTCCCCGACGACGATGACGTACTCAGCCGCACCTCCTCCGACGCCGATACCCCCCTCCCTCCGTCGCGCGCCGCCGCGGCGCCCTCTCGAAACCCTAATTTGCCGATTCCTCCCTTGATCAACTACGGCAAGAGGCCAATTGATCAGCCCTCGATGCAAATCAGCCCCCAGCCCCACATCTCCTCCCAATTCTACACATTCAATAAGGAATCCCACGCCCTAATGACTCGATGCTTGGTTGAAGGCCGACTGGCGACTCCGGACGAAATTCGCGCCGCCACTCCGCCGCCGGTGTTGGCCAGCTGGCGATCGGTGTGGAAGGATCGGAATGAGGACACCGCGTATTTGACAGCCTGGAAACGCATCCAGGAAAAGCTCACAGTCCTTGTAGCAGAATCGGCTGCCGCCACCACCACCACCACCACCATCACCGGTAATAATAATAATAACCACTTCATTTGTTTCAAGAGCAATTCCAGTCAATTCGTCTCGTACGTTGATCAGTGGCAGGACATAGTCATGTCATTTCACGGTGATGCTGATTTCAAACACCTCGGGTTGAAAGATACAATTGAGAGAATTAAGCAGGTATGGACTGTAGGCACTAAATTTTACGGCATTCCCGAAAGCTATATCAGGACTTGTGTTGCTGCCTGCCTTGTGTGCTCCGACGTGTCTTCTGGGTGCGCCTCCAGGTCTAAGAGGCGGAGGTTTGAATATACGGAGTCTTTTGATTTGCCCTCCAAGGAAGTGCCTGCTAAGTTGCAACAGTTGGCAACTAAGCATAAGGTGGTGCTGTGTATACGCCAGAAGTATATTAGGTACAAGCCATTTATGGCTGAGGTCAAGGATTGCGCGTGTCATAGGGCTGGTGAGCCAGTTTCCTCGAAAAAATCACGAATTTTGAAGAGGGAGCCGTACACGTCGAAGAGGTGTGGCTGTGCGTTTCGTATAAGGGCGATAGTTCCAATATCTAACTATAACGAGAAAGATAAGACATTTGTGTACGAGGAAGAGGGCACAGCCGTTTTCAAGCTGTATGCAGTGCATTCTGGGCATGAGCCAGGGCCGTTGGATGGCAATGCAAGGATTATGCACCGAGTTTTTGGGCTTAAAGGGAGCTTTGTGATGGATCAAGATTTTCTTTACGGGATGGCTGAGGAAGACGAAAACGAAGGTTTTGGGTTCTTGGGGAAGGATTCTGGAGAATTTAAGCATTTGGTTCCGCAGCAGCTACAGGATTTGAGGAACGAGTTGGGTTTGCTCGAGTGTAGGATTGAGAAATTCCCGCCACATTTATTGGGTTCTGTGTCACGCGATCTCTTTGAAATTGTGAATAAAATTCGAAATGCTGCAGACGAAGGCTCGGAATCTTCTGGCTTGTTGTCGGGGAAGCAGCATTTGGATGATGTCATGGTGGTAGAGCATGATCTACCAGATTGGGGTGATGACCACCACAGTAGGATTTATGGAGATGGAAAAGATGTTGATGTTATTGAAGATGATGAGGACAGTTTCGGAAGAACGCTCGGGGAAGTTGCTTCTTGGGATCAGATGAGAGCTGAGTGCAGGATGGAAAGGGATCTTCTTGGTGAGAATTGTAAAGACGAAAAATGGTTGAAATGTAGTGAGTTTGATGAGAAGGGCATTCTTGGCTCCAATAACCCTAAGCTAGTCAAGCCCTTACGGCACGACGAGGTGATAGATACAGATGTTGTAGGCCTTGCTGGTATACAGGTGGATGGCTTCTATACGGAAAACCCTAAGTGGTTCGACTCTCCTTGTGGACTGGACCCTGGACCTGATTGTGGGGATAGTGGATTCCGACACGGGGAGATCGTGATCAACTCACCTCGGTGAACCCACTCTAACTTAATTCTGAGTTTTTTTCCCCCTTTTTTTTGGGTGTCGTCCATCTTACTGAATAACTGTTCGAAAGAAAATGTACATTTCTGTACACAGCGTGAAGGAGCTTACAATCAGTTTCAGACCTTTAGCTATCTTTTGTTTACATGTACATTGTAAACGATAGCCGTTTTTGGCATCTCTGCATATACCTTATGAGTTATGTGTATCAAATTTAAACTTGGGTTTCTAATATGTCGTGATTTGAGCTCTATTTGATGTCCATTTAAAATATGTCTGTGAATTTTACCCTATAGTTAACTGCTGCTATGTGATATAGCTATTTGAAATAAAGTTCGAGTACATATTGTGCTCGACGAGATCAGACTTTAATTTAAATACCATGTTTGTATATTCTTTACTTGTAAAATTTGGTTTGTCCGGAGGTTGACAACAGCTATGTCATTTGTCATCTATAATGAAGAGTTCCAAATAATGATATTGAACTTATTACCGCTTTCCCATATAAAATTTGGTCTCAAATTGATAAAGAGACACGGTTACACAGAATCAGAAACACTTTGGTTCTTTTCTTGGAAATAACACCAGTACATGGTCTTCCTATATAAGAACAGGGCACTGCAATATTGCTTGCAGGATTGGATTGTTGCGGATGTTCTTACATTGGGTCAACGCCACTCGTAAGTCAAACGAAGTTCTGGTGAGTGGCTTGATTTGATTCTGGTGAATGCTCTTATTTTTTATTTATTTATAATAAAATAAATTTATCTGCAATTGAGTTATAGTGAAAATGATACTGATTATGATGGTTGAGAAGAAGATCCGATAACATTGCTTTTGAACCCAAATTTGGATGAATTTAGAAAAAAATGTGATTTTATCGAGTTTTCAGTTTTCACTAATCTGATTATCATCGTCCCTTTTCCTGCAGATGGTTCTGTTATTGAATATTTGTCGGGTTCGAGTTTCTTGCCACACTTGTACATGCGAGGTAAATTTCATGGGAATTCCTCAGCAGACATCATATATCTTTACACAGATAAGTCTTTCTGAGATCATCATTTTTTGCTTAAATTAAGTAATTAAGAAAATGCTGGACAAGACTAAAAACCAAAGTTCTTGGAGTAGAGTCTCTTAAGTCTTCTTTTTTATATATTATTGCATCGTTGATTAAAATATGAGTTATATTTTTTGATGTCCCTCTTTACCTAATTTTTAATATAATCAAGTAACAGTTGCTTTAGTACAACTATTTGTTCCGAAAAAACGCTTACATCTGTATCATTTTTCAAATGTATTTGGAACCAGAATGTCACTATCTAACTATCGTCTCTGCCAATGACCTCTTAAATCTCATGCAACTAGTGTTATATTCAAGTGCTTAATTCTTCTGCCGACATTAGAATAAGTGGAAGATTTTCCGAGACTTTTAAGGCCCCGTTTGGATCTAGGATTTTTCTGATGAACTCGTGAAAGTCGAAAAGTTGAAATATGCTCGGCAAATACCCCTCTTTAACTCTCTAATACTATATAGTCAAGGTTTACTTTCATAGTTTATTTTAGAAAAGAACAAAAGATCCAAACAGAGATTTGCTACAGTGGCTCTCCAAACAAGTGACCATTTCAACACGTCGGTTTCAAACCATTTTTTTTTTTTTTTTTTATAAATTCGCCGAGTATAAAAGTTCTTGGAGAGTTCATCAATCAAAAAAATGAAAAAGGGCAACATGAAACTAGCATTTCTCATCATCATGTATACGGCAATCAGCACATTTTTAGGGTTCTCCCTTAGATTCTCTTTCGGGAATCAACCTCAGAATCTTAATCTCTCTCAAATTTTCACTTTCACTGCATTTTACATTATCTCTTTATCCATATTGTACATAAATTCCGAATCACACTCACTCACAGACGAGTTTTCTTGCTTAGTAGTAACCGCAGAAATGTCATCGGTAGAAATTCCAGGCCGAAATCAAGAAATGACGAAAAATATCAAGAAAAACATTTCCGACGGAAGTGAAGTTGGATTAGTCCCAGTCCCTACTCCATTTGTATACAAGGATAGATTATTTAATCATGATCTTGCAGGTGTTAATAATCTCTGTGGTTATGAAGGTGATAATGAAGATAATGGAGATGATGAAGACGAAGAATTTGACAAGAGAATCGAGGAATTTATTGCAGCCAAGAAAAGGGTGTGGAGAGAAGAAATGATTAAAGAAAGGTTGCTCTACATAGAACCAGCCAGGTTGTAAGAATTTTTTTTCTGTGAGATATTTGTGTATGTAAATTTTCTAGTGCTTTTCTCTTTTATTGTACATAATTATGTGTTTGTTCAATAAGACTAAATTAGTTTCTGAATATTAGCTACTAAATTGCACCAAAGAAAAAAAAAAGAAGTGGGGAAAAAAAAACATAAAATTTTGCACTTTGTCATCCAAAAATCACTAATAATGGGAGAATATTCTACGAGATTCTATCGAGTGCACGAGTTTGTACGAAGTTCCGCCTAGGAGTCTGACTGCTTATATAGATGTGCGCCTTGCTCTTATAACGTAATTTAATGGAAACTCTTGTTTACATTTTTTCACTAGTCAAATTCGATTTAGCCGAATAAAGTCGATAACATTTGGACAAAAAATAAAAATAAAAATAATTATATATTTAAAAAATATTATTGTAGAGGTGAGAGGTAACAAAATACAGAACAAAAATAAGACTTAAAAGGATAAAATAAACCTACAATTACAGTAAATTATTATATAATTATTAGACATCGTTCGTTATTCGCCTCGAATCATTATTGAGATACTAATGAAAAGCAGAAGCTTGTGAAATAATAATAGCTTTCACAAACAGAAATATAATACCATATGTAATTATTAACTAATTCCATCACTTATCCTCTGATCTAGAGATCTAAAAGGGCCAGAAAATATCTCGATTATTCGATGGAATCGACAAAAAAGATACTAATTCTTGAATAATTCCAAACAGTGCTCCTGGTCCAAATTCCGGCTCCAAAACTTTTTATAATACTCGTTATACGTATAGTCTCGATAAACGGCTGGATCTTCGCCACCTGTCAGTCCCTTGGGGGCACTAATATTTGCGCTATCGCAAGGGCAGAGAAACGAGGCCACTGAGAGTCTGGCTTTATCAGCATTCACAACAGCTCGATGCCAAACGCTCTTGTACTTCCCATTACTCAGTGCCTGCAAGAAAATTACACTTGCATTTATTACGATTCATTCGGAACAGCGAGAAGTGGGACCCGTTTATACGCGTCGCGATAATTATAAATAAAATTTCAAATGCTTTATCATGTCCAATGCTCATACGTTATAATTAAAAGTCCCACCATGTTTTAATTTTTATCCATTTTCAGCTGTATATGTATAACAGATTTCTAGACTCGTTCCATCAATCCATCAATTTGGGCCTCGTTTGTTTCTAATATAAGATCAGCCAAGATAAGATTATGCAGAGTCTTACTCGACCCCAATCGTATGATTGGGACCCGATAAGCCAAAACAAGACATTATTATCATTTAATTAATCACGGCTTATCGTACTAATTACATGGCTTACCTGGAGTTGATCGCCGATGTTAATGACAAAAGCACCTGGCTGGGGTTTTATTGCTAACCATTTCCCATCCTTAAGAACTTGAAGTCCCGCAACTTGCAAATCTTGAAGGAGAATAGTGAGTGCGTTCGGATCGGTGTGAGCTGGCAATCCGTACGTAAGCTCAGGTTCGGGGCATGCAGGATAATAGTTCACTGCCATATGTTGTCCTTGATCTCCTAGTACATTCTTAAGGTTGTCTTTATCTAACCCTAAACTCTCCGATATATCTTCTTGCAACCTCAACCCAAGTTGTCGAATTTCGGCACAGTAAGTGCTTACAACATCCCTGTAAAAATGCAAAACCTTTTTTTATAAGAAATAGTTTTCCGAAGAACGATAAATAGTAGCCTTATGCCTCGTTTGGTTACTCTTATTAAGTCCTACTGACTAAGTACAGTAGTAGGATTTAGTAACTGCAATTAACTGCTAGTATACGATAAAATTAGTAGTTGCCACCTACCCTTGCAATTAATTTTGTAGGTAGTGACCTAAAAAGGAGGGAGAAAAAAATTATTTTGTAACGATTTTTTCCATAAATATTAGTTGTCGTTTTGGATTGTTGCACATCGATTAAGAAAACCAATAAACATGCATGAATTATGGCAAGAGTGATAATTGTTTCTTAACTAATTACCATTATGGTTAATTGCTTCTTAACTAATTATTTTTCACTTAAGTAAAACTTAAAACTGATAAAGGGCAAAATTGGAATTCTATGGTAACTTGCAACAAAAAAAGATCTTCAAAGCAACAAATGATATGAGAAAGAGGGAGTATATATAAGGAACTAATCCAATCCAGCGTAATATAATATAATCTACAACGAGATCTAGGTAAGCAAACCAGGCCTTACTTGAAAGAAGAGGGATTAGAAGGCCACTCGGGTACATATTTCTCGAGCGGATAACAATGGAGCCTCAGATAATCCCTCCAATTGTGAACCGTCTCCTTTTTCACGTTAAAACTTGTCGATAGCCGCATAGTTTTTGTCGGATCGTCAGAGTATAGCTTCATCTTCTCCTCAACGGATAAATCGAAAAATTCATGAGCCACACAGAGAATATTATCCACAAGTGCCTTGGACACTCCATGATTTATCACCTGATATAAACCCCACATTAAAAAAAAAAAAAAAAAAAGAGTCGATGAATATAAAAGATAAATAAAACGGTGCTCTTTAATATGGAATGAACTTTAATGAGTAAAGTAAACCTGGAAGAATCCATATTCTCGACAAGCATCACCGATTTGTTTTACGATTAGGTTGTGATCCTCGCATCCTAAGTCAATGACGGGGACATTATCGAACTCCTCAATTTCGGAAAGTTTTGGTCTGTCGGATTCGGGTCGGATATAACTAGCTGGGAGGCTTGAGAAGTGTACTCCACTAATCACCTTTGTTTCCATTTTTTTCCCAGCTTTTTTTTTAGCTTACTTGCGGAGAAACTTGAAAAGAACTTTCAAGAAGAGTGACCTTCCTTCGAAGCCTCCGAAAATCTACGACTGCGAATGAAATGAGAAGCGGGGAAGATGCAAAGGCGAATTGAACATTCGATATTTCAGAAATGCCCTCAGGTTCTCCACAACTGAAAATTTTCAAAAAGTACAAGATTAAGTTTTTGCAAGAAGTGTTTCCTATAGCAGCTTTTCGAATATACATATTAATCCAATTTCGCAACGGTTACGCTTAAAGATGGATACCCAAATCTAAAGTTTCTTTTTCGTTTTATCTTTTATCTTTTAGCTTGTGCAGCAAGAACAAGAGGCATGCAAAATTCGACGTATATATATATCCCACATGTCGTAAAATACTAATCGTTCGAGAAATCTTCGATCCACTGCCACCACGTTCGTATGTGTCAAAGTATACGGTTAAAAACCGTCAATCCGGTATAAAAGCTTCCCATCTCCTTTATTTGCTCAACAGAAATGCATTTATATGTAATCATGCATGCTTTCGGACAAACGAATCGAACAAAGCAAGGCCACGAAACTCGAAGCAACTTGTTCTTCATAACGGAATTAAATTAAAAATTCAAACCAGAATAAAGCAGATGACTCTAGAACATGTATCAAGACAGAATTTTTGTTGCCTTTTAACATAAATAAATAAGATAACGAAAAAGCTTGACCACAAGAACCAAAGGAAAGATGAAAAAGACAACTAAAAAAACCAAAACACCTACACTTTTAGCTGATTAATCCTTTAGTTTATTACTGGCAGAGTTAAAATTCAAACAAGCCAAAAAAACAACATTCGGAATCAAATTACACAGCCAACCAAAAAGGAAGCATAAAATCAAAACTGCAATCACCCAACACACAGTAAAGTGTGTTAGTGTGTGTGGGGGATCTAAAAATAATTAGGGGGAAAAATAAATAAATAAAGGGCACCTGTGAGGCTGTCTTCTTCTACCAAAACCAATTGGCAATCGATTGTTATTTTTGTTTACTGAACTCTTCAAATTTAAACAAAACACCAGAGGGGCAAACAGGAAAATATAATTAATTAAAAATAATTAAAAAAAGAAATTAAAAAAATACTACCTGTCCGGTAGTAATCAATCGCTCGGCACAGAAGCCCATATTTTCATGCTGGATTGTCAATCAATGCCCCCAGTACTAGATAGCTGATCCCACATTCTGACGTCAACGCGCAACTTTGCAGTGACGTCACTCGTGTCGTAGATGTCGAGTGCGGAGCGGTAAATGTCAACGGAGCTGATATCATCCGGTGCCGTCACGAGTGATGTCATGCTTTCAAATTGCATTACGTCGGTGGCGATTTTTTTTTAGGGTTTCGTTACGTTTTGGTCGACGGCGCGTGAGCTGAACGTCAGTGTTCTAGAAAGAGAACTAATGAACTGTGTTGATTCCCCTCTCTCTCTCTCTCTCATTACGTTTTTATTTCTTATTTATTAATAACACTTTATAAATGAACATTTTTAATGAAATAAAAAAACTAATAATTATTAAGGGCAAATTACGGCCAACCAACCCTGAGGTATGATCAAATTATGAAAGAAATCACTCACGTTTGGGTAATTACAGTCATCCATTATTTTAAATATTTTTACATAATTTATGTATTACGGTTATTTACCAAACCAAAGTGTATATTCAGTTCGGTAAACGCTATGAAATGATGGCGTATCGAAATTTTGGTTCGGTTTAGCGATTTAACATCTCTAAATTTACCTCTGAGAGAGTATTTTCTTAGATAGTACATAGTTGTGGAGTAGCTGTAATTAAACAAATAGGAGGTGGCTGTAATTTGCCCTATTATTAAAGATTCTATATATATTTGCAATAATATTATTTCTAATATCAACTTGTGATTAAGTTTTTTAACATATATATATTGATTTTTATATTTATATTATTTACATGTTATGACAAGTTGTCAACTGGAAATAAATTACAATATGTAATGGTTTGAAAAAAAAACACGTTTTTTTTAAATAAAAACTTTATTTTAATAGCAAATAGCAATATACAGTGGAATTATTTCTATAAAAGCAAAATAGATAGTGGAATTATAGTGCATTGGACAAAGGACCATTTACGTTATTGTGGACCGCATTGGATATTGTCAGGCCCCATTTGGTGACGTGGAAAAAGATATATGAAAATCACGTAAATTTGGATCTTATTGCATTGCCCTTTCAATATTCTTCCCTTCAAATTATGAAATTCAATACAATAAGGGCAAATTATAAAGGTATTAATATCTTTTAAAAATTAAAGTTTGAGTAAGGGGTATTTCAGATTTTTTTGGCGTTAGTAGGGAGTTAAGTGTATGAAATATAAAGACTATATAGTATTTTATAATGTTATGTATAGTACTATTAGTATTTCTGTACGCACAATTATAGTTAACTAAATAGTAACGACGAAGATCGACATGAATTCTATTAAGGTTAGACCAACACAAGTTTATCGAAAGTAATTATTGAAATTATATGAAATATTACCACTTTTGTACCTGTTTTATCCAATTTAAACTCCACATTTTGAAGCAAGATGATCATAATATGTATTTTTTGGCTTGTATATATCATATTATGGTGCATCAGAAACTAGAGCATATTCCACGAAATCTAGATGATTATGTTGAATTTGACACCATAAGGGTGGAGATGTAAGAAAAAATCATAGTTGAGAAGGTAGATGTAATTATCCAAACAAGAGGGGTTTTGTTCGTAAATTAACCATACCTCAGAGGTGGCTATAATTTATCATGTTTTATAATGTTATGTATAGTACTATTTAGTATTTCCTTTCGCACCGTTATAGTAACTAAACAGTAATAACAAAAATCCGCCTGAATTCTATTATGGTTAGACCGAAACAAGTTTATCGAAAGTAATTATGTACTTAATGTGGTCCCGCTTCAAGGCTACCTCGAGTTAATGTGATAACACTTCAAAGATAGCTCAAACTGAGGGGCACGAGCTTGAAGTTAGAGCTAAGAATGCAAGGTGTCAAATGCACGCGAGAAAATGGTACTACCACATACACTGTCAGCTAATTCCGCAGGCCTGAGACGGAACGCTTTTTTTAACTCTAACCTATTAGATAAAG